TACAGTAAATTGTTTTATTTTACATTAAATATAATTTAAAAATTAAATAAAATAGAACATAAAGTTAAAAATATTATATCTTAATTTCACTAAAAAAATAAAACATAAAATGCAAAAAAAATAAAAAATTACTTCATTATGTCTTATTTTATTCTATGTTATCTTGACCCCGCACTAATTTAACAGATAATGCTCGCAAAATAATAAAAGTCATCAACAAAAGAGTTCTCAATGCGAATAGCTCGAAGACTGTCACTTTCGCAGTATACAACTATACATTACGAAAACCTTACTGTCACGCAATCTGCAACCCTTTAAAAATGGCAATCAGTTCTGCTAGAAGAACGTTAGCTATGCCCCCGTAGCCCAATTTGATCATTTGAATATGATAATCATTTTTCTATTGCTTCATCTCCATACGTAGTGATTCAGTAACTTTTTTCGGCCATGTAGTAATTCAATAACTAGTTTTAACTTTCATCAATTATTTATCGACATATTTATTATCCACTAAGTAATGGCCCATATTTTGGCAAAATTAAATTAAAGGGGGCAACCACATATCCACCGTTAAAACATGGACTTCGACAACTTGCCTCTATCCTCTTATCATGCTAGCCCGTTCAAAACATAAAACATTTATACCAACCAACGTTTTCTTGCTCTTTATATATTATTTTTTGTTTATTATTATATTAAAAATAGAATTCCAAATAACTAATATATATATATATAAAATTGACATAATTAACTTATACCAATATAAGAATAATAAGTTTTACATTTAATCTTAGCCGTTTATTTCTGTATGTTAGATTATCATAATTTATTAAATTATACTCATTAATTAATTATTAATTTCTAATAAATTATCATTGTCAGATATATAAAAATTAGGAGAAGATTATATTTACAAACTTTTTTTTTACAAACTACACTAAGTATGACCGGTCATACTTAGTGTAATTTGTAAAAAAAAATTTCTAAACGGATCATTCCTCTAAAAATTAACAGCTAAGATTTAATATAAGATATATTATTCTTACACTGGTATAAGAATATCTTACCATGTATATAAAATATCATTATGATAGTATTAATGTTAAACTTAGATATAATAATAATAAATATAATTTAACATACTCAGCAAGTAATTTTGTAAAATACTTTTCTAAAAATTAACGGCTAAGATTTGGCATAAAATTTATTATTGTTATACTGATGTATTATTACGATAGTATTAATGGTAAACTTAAATATATAATAGTAATAATAATTTAACATACTCAACAAAGAAATTTTGTAAAATACTTTTCTAAAAAAATACAGTATTTTTAATATATTAAAATATTTGTGTTTCTTGTTTTGAATTAATATTTTAAATTTATTTTCAGTCTCTACTCTACGTATAATATCATAAAGTTTATCATAATAAAAAAAGGTAAGATATTGTAACAATCAATTAGGGTTACTATCAATGTTATTACCAATCAATTTTATCGTTAGATCGATTATGTTGATCTAACAGTTATATTTATTTTCATCTTTGTATGGTTATAATTCCCCATGTTTAATGTGAAAACATTAAATATGGGGAATCATAATCATACAAAGTATTAAATATGATGAATCATAACCATACAAAGATGAAAATAAATATAACCATTAGATCAACATAATTGATCTAACGATGAAATTGATTGGTAGTAAATGTTGGATGCTGGTGCTTTGAAGGATGTTCCCTTACTTAGTCTATTAAGAGAAAACACATTTGTTCTCAAGATATTGACCCAGTCACGCAAGTGCACGCATCAAGTAATAAGTGGGATTATTAGTGCTCAAATTATCGTTCCCACGAGGATAGTAACTCTAAATAATATTTTGAACTAATCTGAAAGAATTTGAACTGAATAAAAGAATTGTTTGGAACTGTTTGCCTCTCGTTCCCTAGTATCTTAAGGAAGTTCCTTTAAGATAATAAGTTCAGATTGACTTTAAACAACTCCTCCCGTCGTTATATATTGAGTCCTTCCTGATTTCGGGAGGAACGATAAAATCATGGGAGGTTTAGTGTTGTGATAACTGAATATTAACTGCAGAATTTAAAGATAACAATAATTAACAGACAATAAGATGAAATGATCAACAAAAACTGTTTTTACACAAGGAACGGATCCACTGTTCCATTGTTAAATAGCTATGTTCTCAACTCAAGACTTAACCATTCTGAATTTGTTCAGGTCTTTTCACTGCAAACTCTGATTCCTCATATCATGGACTAAATGGCTCACAAGTTTTCATATTCCTATGACTTCCTTGACTCCAACAGTTACTAAGTTCAAAACCTTCAAGGAACGATGTGGTTCCTTATTCCTAATGCAACCAGTAAGATTGTTTCCACAATCTTACCTTCCTCATGTGATTAAGTTGTCTGAAATCTCTCCCTTAAGGGAGTTCTTTTCTTAGTTTGCGTTCAATTTCCATTGATACCCAAAGAAGTAAAATTACCTAAATCATATAAATACAAAAAATTCAGTACAGTTTTGAACATAGTTCTTTAAGAACTTCACAGTTTTTCCGTTCCAAAATAACTTAGCCCATGGCTAAAAATACAAACATAGTTATTTAAATCTGAAATTCCATAAACCCGAGATTCAGGTTAAAGATAATGAGTAGAAGAGAAAAGAAATAACAGACGTATATTAATAAACATCAAGTCTTACAATACTGAGAAATAAAAATGGAGAAATATGAAAATATGCTTGTGAGGAGTCTCAAATGGTGATAGAGAATGTGGGAAAGGTTGTTGTCACTTAGCAATTGTTAAAACTATACAAGTTACAAAACAGAAAATTAAACTATGAAAGTTATAATCTCTTGTTAAGGAATTCGATCCTTTCTTCGTCTAAGACTTTCCTATTTATAGGTTGAGGAATGTGATGTCAATCTTGTGGTTCTTTGTCATCTATCCCGTGTTGGTATGGAGAGGCGCTGGACTGTTGCTCTGACAGATGAAGCAAGTTGCTTGAATAGACAACTTAGGATTGATTTTTTTTTTTTATTCTGAAACCAACATGCTTTTCCTTTCTTTAGACCAATAAGCATCCTTCCTTATCTGGTGTACACTCTTTTTGCAGCTTGACTGATGCACTCTCTCTGCTTTTAGAAGCTTATTTTCAGACTTTTCCTGTAAAAAAGGGTGAGAGGATAAGCTAGTGGAGCATGTGTAGAAATAAGTCAATTCGTTCCCCTTTTTCCTTCATTTATCAGTAATTATATCAACATCCGTTCCCTTCTGGTATTTTTGTTCTCATGGTTTGGGAACGTCTTTTAATAGCAAAAAATGAATAGCAGGTAACGGAACAGATGAATCTTTATCACAATGGACTTAAATGAGAACTAATTTTCGTCTCATCAATAACCTTATTTAATTGTTGCAATATCCTTCCCCATAAAAAAATAAATAAAAGAGTCAATACAAATTACTTTCTCGTTGCGTAAGCCCATGACCATGACAAGTCATTTTCAAATGGAAAGTTTCCAATTTATGTAAAGGTCATGGTAGGTCACAAATTGAGGAATTTGAATCTATTTTTATGATATCCATTAGTAATCAATAGGTATGGAAATAGGTTGGTTTAGGTTATAGTTTAACCTAAACAAGTCAGGCTTATGTAGAATCATAATAATGAAGGAGAAATTTTTAATATTCTTTTTTATTCCAAAGAAATAAATAATTTTAAAATAGATTAATCCTTTTTTAAAAATAAACTAAATTGTGTTTGATCGTTGAATTCTATCCAACATATTAAATTGTTGAAAGTAACAATGAGGAGATATTTTAACATTTAATATCATTGTCTAAATCATGATGTATAAAGAAGAATATAGTTACATGAAAGAAAAAGGTTAGGTAACTTAGTGATTTATCTATTTATAAAAAATAAACTCACTAATTTATCTTCCATAAATCAATGAGAAAGATGTTTGCAACTTGACCCCTAATATATAGCATCTATTTTTACTTTTTATTTTTTTTGCACATACAGCAATAGAGTTGCATCTTTCATGGTAAAACTTAAAAGCAATGTAGGGAGAAGAGGAAAAAAAAAGTTTGGTTGAGATTGCTTGATGATGTTTAAATGATATGTTCGGAAAACAAGTGCACAGAAAGAACCGAGAGAAAATTGTAGAGCAAATTCCATATAGATGCGATGCAACAAATAAATATAAAGCAAAGAATCACAAACTCGAAAGATATTTAAGTAATTAAAGTTGTTCGATCCAGTAGGATGGAGATATTCGATTTGGGATTGGTAAGTCCATGTTGGATTTGTATTCTTTCTCAAATGTTTATAGGGGAGATACTCTAAAAAAAATGATACAATAGCAGCTAAGAGAGACTTAAAAAATGTATACTTTAATTTTTATTTATTTATTGAGAATTTATATGTGTATAGTAAAATTTTGAATCTTTTATAAATATTGGGAGCCATCCACTGAAAATATGATAAAATTGAAATTATTTTCATATTTCTCTCATAATTATTTGTCTTTATTGAGCTCTTTAGACTATAGACCCATAAGTTGGCCATAACAAAAGTAATCATATTTTGTCCATTCTATCGTGAAAGATTTATTCACACCTTCATCGGTGGGAGTGATTTTTTTTTTCCAGTTCACGAGTTTTCATTTTTTAGATACCTTGTAAACATTATAATAATTTTTTTATCTCTTATATTAAATATAGAATTTCCACCTCACTTTTGGAAACCCTTTAAGTACCTTAGAAGAGGAGGTCGAATACACGCATGAGCCAGAATTTTTATTCTAGAAATTTATATATGTTGGAAAAATATGCATGAGCCATGAATCCGAAAAGGATCGGCACTATTCCGCATGCGTGGGTTGTGTTGAAAAAGCATTAAAATAAAAATAAAATAAAAAAGAGAATGAAAGAAAGAAATGTGATTTTCGGTGACGTGCTAGAGGGGCATCTTTTGCGTTTGCAGTGTTAAAAAAGGAAAACGGAAGGTGGTTTTGTTTCCATCAAATCAAATGCAATCCAACCCTATATATAAGCATTCAATACCTGCGTGTTCTTTCGGGCTTTCATCACCGAAAGTAACGGAGAGATTTCCTTAACCAGAAACTCCAAAATACCCCCAACCCCCTACCAATCAGTTTCAACTATGTTGCAGAGATCCAGACGGCGTTGCGAGGGCACAGCCATGGGCGCTATCGTTCTCGATCTACGACCCGGTCTCGGTATCGGACCCTTCTCCCTCGGTAATTATCCATACCCGACCCGATTTTATTGTTTGATGCTTTTAGCAATTCGAATATCGGTCGCTCTCGGTTTTCGAATTGAAGAAGAATCCAATCCATTTCCGAATTTCAGTTCACTTGATCGAATCGAATTTACTTGTTGCATTATAGTAGACGTTCTTCATTTGCTTGTTTGTAAACTTAGGTTGAATAAATAGTAATTTTGTTTCTATTTTTGTTCTTTTTTTTGGGACCGATGAGCTTATCGCTTATTAACAGTCATGTGATGTTGTTCAGTAGCATGGAGGCTTTTTTTTTTGTGTCAATTCAATAGCTCAGCTTATTTGGCACAATTGAAGTTCGATGTTATTGGCATCCCGTTTATCGTTTGAGTTTTTGTTACTGTGTGTTACTGACTTAGCTTACCATTTCTTTATGCTGTTTAGGAATGCCTATATGTGAAGCATTTGCTCAGATAGAGCAGCAGCCTAACATATACGATGTGGTGCATGTGAAGTATTATGATGAGGTTTGTAACATATGATTATGACTTATTTTCTTGTTATCTGTGTCGTCTATGATCGTGTTAACTCACACAAATACGCTAGTTTATTCAATTTTGTTGAATTGACCGTCAGCTTTGGGCAGACTACTATCGGATTGCTTTGTCTGTGTTAGGCATCTGCTGTTTTAGTTCGTAAAAGATTTATTTTGATTTCTTCTACTTTGTTTATATGCAGGAGCCTCTGAAGTTGGATATTGTTATAAGCTTTCCGGATCATGGGTTTCATCTCCGTTTCGATCCCTGGTCTCAGGTGGGTTTTCTTTTCCCCTTTCATTTTGCTGCCAATGATTGATTTATTCCCAAGTGTGTGTGTCTGTGCAGAGTGCTTATTTGGAGAAAACATGAGATTATGCGGCTCAGTTAATGAAATTTTTATTTTTCATGTCTTTAATAGGAAGCATGAGTGGATGACTAGCTGGTACATTAAGTTTATGATTTATTTTACGGGAGCCATAGCTAATGCTTTGGTTTTATAGCATTGTGGCCGCATGAATTATTACCATAACACAATTAAATTTAATGGACATATAGTTGAAAATGAAAATTCAGAAAGTGTGGGAAGAATTCCTGTAGAAAATAAATGGGTTCTGAATGTTATAGGACTCTCAGAAATAGTTTTTAGTTTGTATTATCTTTTGTAAAGAACTAATTCAACCCAAAATCCTAAGGTGTCGAGTGAAGGCCATTTTAATGGTTTATATTATTTTCTAACACACTCCCTCACGTAAGAGCCCTTTGGGCTTGAAATGTGGATATTGCATAGGTCCAATTTTTTTGGTTTTACCTTATGCTTAATTCCACAAGTGGGTGGCGGTGAGGATCAAATTCGTGACCTTATGGTCACTGAAGTTCTGATACCATGTAAATAACCAACCAACTCAACCCAAAACTTTAAGGTGTAGAGTGAAGGCATTTTTAATGGTTTATATTATTCTCTAACATCTTTTAAGTTCATACTATCTGCATTTTAGAACTTGATAAGAGAATCGTAAGAACGAAAAATTGTATTAGGATCTTGCAGTACTATGTCCATGCAAATGAAAAACTGTGGGAGTAATGTAATTGTAGTTTAGAATTTAGCTATACTTTCTTTTCTCCAAGTTCACTGGGGTGGGATACTTGAAGTTTTGGGGTTTTTTTCTTCGTTGGGTCTGTTTCTTTAGTTACAAATACATGCTCCTTCCCATCAAGAAAATACCATGCTAGATAATTTGTATTTTTTTAACCTGATATTGCTGCTATTCACAAAAGTTGATGGAGCATTTCTGAATTTTTTTTGCTGCTTCTTACAATCTAAAGCTTTAACCTCTATTATATGTAGCAGTTCTTATGCTTTCAATCATTCTAAGCTGTTGTATAGTGCTTCTATTTATTGGTACCCATATATTATGACAAGATGACTTTGTCGTGATGAAACTTTCCAATACTATTTTAGAGACTGCGACTTATTGAAATATTTGATGTAAAGCGGCTTCAAATGCGCTATTCCACTTCCCTCATTGGGTGAGTGTCTAGACTTAAAACTTTTGGGGAATGGATCCTCTCTTGTTAAAACTTTACATGACCTTGTCACGTGAGAATTTTGTGTCTATTTCTCTCTTTCAAAACTCTTAAATTGGTGGGGCCCTATCAAAATTTGTGAATATCTATAAACAGAGAGATAGGCATAAAATTTTCACATGACAAGACTATGGGAAATTTTAAAAGATCCATATCCTAACTTTTGTATCTATTTATTGTAAAACACTTTATTGATCATCTTTTCAACTTCTAGGGGACCGTCGACTCTAGCTACTTTTGTTGCTGTATATGCACTTTTTGGGCCCACATATCCTGGAATTTTTGATAAGGATAGAGGCATTTACACACTATTCTATCCGGTACATATCTGGGATGTCAAATGCACAATTATTGCCATTAATTTTTTTGTTCTACAAGTCCACATTAATATTTTCTGGTTTGTATTTTTCTTGGTTTGGTTTTTAGGGGCTTTCCTTTGCATTTCCTATTCCAAGTCAGTTTACAGACTGCTGTCACGACGGGGGAGGTATTTATTATATCGTCTTGAAATTGAAATTTTGCACTGAGTTTTCTAGTTCTAATTTTGTTTGTCTCTTTTCATTATGGAAGTGGAATTGCCATTGGAGTTTCCAGATGGGACCACACCAGTTACATGCCGTGTTTCTATATATGATAGTTCCTCCGGTAAGAAGGTTGGTGTGGGGTCCTTAATGGATAAGGCTTCTGCTCCGCCATTACCTGCTGGCAGCATTTACATGGAAGAGGTTCTTGTCAAGGTTTGGGTTCTTTAAGCCCTGTATCAGTTTTGTTTTTGCTTATTTAGTATGACACCTTTAGTTTGCTTCATTTTAGAGAAACTTTCTGCCTGATTTGGCAAGGTGGCTGTAATATTGGCGTCTAATTCAGTTCTTTCTCTGTTATATAGCTGGGGGAAGAATTGTACTTCACTGTTGGCTCTCAACACATTCCTTTTGGTGCTTCTCCACAGGTAAGCTTTATGTTACATACAATTGAAACCATTTGAGCTATGCTTCTATCATATTATTTTCCTGTGCTTTCTGTTTCTTCTTTTGTCATCTTCCACTTGATTTGTATTCTTTATCTAAATCAAAGTTTATGTTATCCTTCCTGCAGGATGTGTGGACTGAGCTAGGTCGTCCCTGTGGCATTCATCAAAAGCAGGTGCCATGAATTTCTAGTTCTTAAATGGAATGTGATTATTTTGTAGGCTTTTTGTGGAATTAAACTGATATATGTTGCAGTAATGTCTGCAGAATCTGAGTAAACTCTTTCTATGTCTTTATTGTTGGTGTACTGTGGAGAATTGAATTTATGAAGCTTTATACATTTCTGATATTGAGATTTTTCTGTACATTTCACAAGTCTGTCAGCAAGTATACAATGCAAGTTTAACTTAACAATACCTTCTACCTTTAATGGATCATATGAGGACCTAGGCAATAACTGCTGCATGTTTTAGACTATCCTTTTGTTTGGTGATTTGGTTGAGGATAAAAGAGAGGAAAGAAGTGGGGGATGGGAAAATTGACGTAAGGAGAAATTTCTTGTTTGGATGGATGGGTGAAAACAGACGGTATGTTGGGGGGGGGGGGGGGGGAATTGAAGCAAGAAGGTACATGTGGTCCACCAATTATTTTTCCCTTGGAGTTTGGGAAGAACCAACATCAACAACACATTTATCCCAAACTAGTTGGAGTCAGTGGCAGATGAACCCAAATGAAAAGTACAAAAAGATTGAGGAAAAATGTATAAAAATAAAATTATATATATAACCAAAATTACCCACGCTTCTGTCATATTCCACAATCTATGCAGCTTCTGCTTTTGAGAACTCCCCTTATGTGCTCCCCTTATGTGAATTGATTGTTCTATTCATCTTCGTAAGTTTATCTTTGTTTCTTTTTATTTTGGGCCTTTTCTTATACACAGAGCTGCATAGATATGGTACTTTTTTTATGGTTCTTGTGTAATATGAGATAGATGGAAGCCTTAGGCTTGATTAAATGCTTGGGGATATGCTTGGAACATGCAGACTTCTTCTTGTATGGTCTCTCTACCGAATATTTTAGTAGAAGGCTTTGCTAGACCCCCTATGATACATGCAAATGTAGTTGGCAAGTTATTTTTGGGTGAATATGTGGTTGACAAGTTTTAAGACTAGGAATTGGGAGTCAAACAGAAGTTATCAAGACAGAGCTAACTGTCAAAATTATAATATTGTTGTTAGTTGCTCTCTGTTCATGGAGTAGTTTGATGTTCACTACATACTTAACTATTTATTTTAAGGAGGCTGAATCTGAATTCTACCTTGAGTACAAAGCAATTTTGTAATGTTTATAGCTAGTAAATTCCTTGAATGAGTATTTTGTTTTGGTAGATTCTGACTCCTAATTCTGCAGGTAGATCAAATGGTTATTCATTCTGCCTCAGATCTTCGGCCACGAACAACTCTTTGTGGAGATTACTTCTATAATTATTTTACTCGTGGTCTGGACATCTTATTTGATGGGCAGGTTTGCACCTTACCTCATCCTTTTGTTTCTATACACAGTGATACAACTGACAACGTAAGCTCCTACATGTCTGTTGTATTTTCAGACTCACAAAATCAAGAAGTTTGTATTGCATACCAACTACCCTGGTCATGCTGATTTCAATTCTTACATTAAGTGCAACTTTGTTATCTATGGCTCAGATTGTAAGAATTTTTTTATTTGCATTGCAGTAATTAGATTGGTCTTGAAGTTACAGTTATGTAGATTTTTGTTGTGAAAAAGAGATAAAATCATTTTTTCCCTTTCCAGCAGTTGGAGGATCTTTTCAGGAAGTAAATAACAGCAAACAGAGGGCTATTACACCTAGCACAAAATGGGAACAAGTGAAGGTGATTTTTTATCCCTTCCAAGTTGTATGTTTGCCCTTATAAATGATGTTTCACCTTGGAAGATCCTTTTTTTTTTTTGGAATTTTGGAAGATCTTCTTTAATTTAATTATATGAAGTAATTTGGGGAAGAAAATTGTGACAAGCTTTGATGTGGATTTCTTATAATCATTAATAGAAGTTATGGTATGAATTATGATTGCTTGTAATTGTTTCTTTTAGGAAATACTTGGGGATTGTGGGCGAGCGGCCATTCAAACACAAGGCTCTGCAAGTAACCCTTTTGGTTCTACTCTTGTATATGGTTATCAAAATATAGCCTTCGAGGTGCGTCATTCTATGTGCTTACTGTGCCCTGCTAATTTACTTGTTTAGTCCACTATGGTGCCTTGAAGAGACTGCTAATCTATACTCTGGTGATGTTATCAGGTTATGAAGAATGGTTATATTGCAACTATAACTCTCTTCCAGTCATGATGATGGTACATTTCTTTTATTGTGTGTTTTTCTATGTAAATTTATTCTTCTTTAGATAGCAAGCTATAACCTAATTTTTTTTTCTTGAATCTTAGCTATTGTTTCAATATTAAAAATCCAAGTTAATTGCTACCAGCCAGTATTAGATCATTGTCTTAATATTTTCTAGCTTCATTCTTGTTAAACTTTTATTTATTTATTAGGTTTATTTACTATGTTAATTTCGATAGTTTTACCAAGTTTTTGGCCTAGTCTAGTTTAAAAGTTTCTAATTGGGTTCTTAAAATTATAAATGTTTCTAATTGATCCCTATTGCGACCAGCACGGACATCTACAAATTTAATGACGAGGTGGTAAGTGGAGAGCTCATGTGGTTCCCATTATGCCATTCGGTTCGGTTTGTGTGGATCAAAAGGTGGTCAAATCAGCCCATTTCACCCGTAAAACATTGTCGTGTGACTGTTTTAAAGGAAATATATCATGTGCCAGTCATGTGATTGTTTTCAGGGAGAGGGAAATGGAACATTTGAGACCACCTTTTAAAGCATGTTTGTTTGAGATTCTATTCGCACACAGAGGTTCACGCGTTTTCTGAGGTAAATACACGCTCTTTGGGAGCGATTCACTGTGAAGAAAATGGTCTTTTTTTATCAACTCTCGGTGGTGGTTGAAAGAACTTAAAACAAACATGCTGTTAGTCTATGCAGACAAAGTGGTGGGGGGCCACAGCAGCACTGAATGAATGGATGTCTGACAAAAGTGGTCATTGATGGAGACTCAATGAGAAGCATTTGCTAATTTTAAGGATCCAATTAGAATCTTTTTATACTCTCGAAGGACTAATTCAAAAGGTCGTCAAACCTCTAGGGATCAACATATTAAACATATTTATTATAGTTGATAACACGGAGTTTTGAGTTTTTGTGCATTGCCGGGGCTTTTGGTTGCTCTTAATCTCTCTCTCTCTCTGTGTCTTGGTCATAGATTTCTCTCAAGCATGGTTATGGAACTTCACAAGGAGTAGCAGGCTAGGTTTGTACGGCCATTGTGTATCAATAGCTCAGCTATCATCATTGTCATCATTATCGTGGCAAGGGGCGATAACAATTGTACAGCTGTGTAACAAAATGTAAATATTAAATCCCTGTCATATTATAATGTAATTATCGAACGTTGACATCTTGCACAAAGCTAATGTAATAAATTCATATTGCTTTATCTCGGATTGCTTCACCTTGTGAGATTCTCGGTTACTTTCCATGCTCCAGTTTTCCTCTGTCGACCTTGTCTCTTCTCCTTCCCTTTCGTCTCTTTAAGCTCACTCCTGATCAAACAAGCAAGTTTCCCTTCTGTGTGTTTAGTAGAGTTCTCTTGACATTATCGTTAGTAATCAAGCATGGAAGAATTTTTATTTTAAATTTAAATCTTCTCAAATAAGTATGCACTTAAATTAGTCGATAAAAATCTCAATTAATATGTAATGCATAGAGTTTTATTACCTTTTTTATTTATAAAAAATATGTAGTTTTACCTTCTTAATAACACTGAAAACCAATGAAAGTGAACAATAATTGTGAATCACTATCAAGACTATTACATCTGATGCAACACGTGTTAAATCACCAACGAACACCCAAAAACTGAATTCGATTGATGTTAATGGCTGGACCCATATACATAAATTGAAAATTTCATGAACGAGGGTGTTTAAGGACCCACAAAGAAACTGTCCGGAAAAGCTTCTCCCGTGTCGTTTTGGGTGATTTGAACATCAAAATTGGTTGGTCTTTTGGTCCATTCATGTCACGACGGACAAAAGGTGTTGCAAGTTGCAACCTGCAAGAAGACTCGGTATTTGACAGAATGACCACATATATGTCTAGAAAAAAGATAGTGACAAGAATGATGTGAGCACACATAAGAAACAGAGAAGAAGGAAGAGTCCCATTCTATTTCCTGTGACTGCGCTTTTGACCGAGAAGTACTTCTAGCACAATGACAAAAAGGAAAGAGGAAACTACCTTATGCTAAGTGCAAAGGCTAAATATTTGAAAAGAAATATGGTCAAAAAAGAAAAAGCACAACGGCGTCGCTTTATCTCATCGCGTTTAATTATTGAGGAATATGACTGCCATTTGAGTGAAGATATTCGGAAAGTTATATTCGGAAAGTTATATCTCATCGCGTTTAATTAGTAGGCGATAATATTAGGTAAAATGGAAAATCTGAGCCAAACATTTTTTAGAGTAACGGATCAATGGAGCAAGACATTTTTTTTAATGTTTTTAAAAACTGACCAGTTATTGAACTAGGAAATGGTGGTTCAAAACCTTAAATATATATATATTTTAATTATATAATATATTAAGAGGAAGGATCTGTTTACAAATTTTTACAAATTACACTGTATTTCCAGAAGTACATAATGTAATGTACTTCGAGAAGTATATAGTGTAGTTTGTAAACATTTTTTTTTAAATATAACCCTTCCCGTATATTAAACAATAAAATAATATATTGATTAACATTCCCAATTAAGTAACATAATAATAAAAATCTAGTAATGAGCATAATATTTATAAGATTATAACATGAAGAAATATATTTAAAAATAGTCAAAACATAACAATATTTGAAATGATGTCGTCTAATTTCTTTAAAAAAGTCATTATAATGTCACATGGCTTTTTTTTTTTTGCTCATAACATTAAAAATTTCGCTACTAATTTTGAACTGATTTGGCCTATTTTCAACTCATTTTTTGCTCAGCCAATTTTATAAATTGAATGAATCAAGTACTTCATAAATTTTGACACCAGTGTTGTGTGTTGTTGATCTTTTTTGATTTAATGGCTTTCAGATGAGGTGTCAAATTTTAAATTTTATACTAATGTCAAATGATCCTATCTCATACATATATATAGAGAAAAGGGTGGGGCCCACCTTAAAGAAAAAAATAAAAAATAAAAAAGTGATTGGCACGAATATCGAAGTGAGAGTGGTAGGAGAGGAGACTTTTCATGCAACATGAGAAGTCTTTTTTCTATATATATATATATATATATATATATATATATATATATATATATATATATATATATATATATACACACACACAAGGATTTATTAATCTCCTACAGTAGGAGATGACTTACCTCATGCTATAGAAACAAATCATGTGGGTCCCACCATTTTCTAAAAAATCAAAAAAAAGAAGAAGGAATAGCACGGCTTTTCATGTCTCACTCGCATAAGAAAATTCTCGTCATCAACATAAGATAATTTAAACCCATATATATATATATATATATATATATATATATATATATATATATATTTAATATTTATATATTTAGTGTCTGAGGCAATGATGCTATTGGTTTTTGTTATGCTCATCACTGCAACCGATTATTGTTACGAATCTCATATTGATTCTATAAGCAACTAATATAGGGTTTATAAGGTTTTGTATACTTCTATTCTTTGAGCTACTAACTTTTTGGGTGATTATTGGTCCGTAATTTTTGGTACTTATCTTGGGGATCCCACATTAGTTGAATATGCAACTAGTGTGCGGTATATATAGCCTTGAACACTCTCACTTTTTGAGCTAATTTTTGAAGTGGTGATCTCAAGGTCTGTTACTGATAGATGAGTGAAGCCCTCAAAAAGAGAGAAAGGGCTACTGTCGGGTCAGTGTCAATAGAATGAAAACCGCCATAAGACACTAACGTGGGATTTATAAAGGATCTTGGACACTCCCACCTCTTGAACTAAGTTAGGTGACAAGAAGACAAAGTTATCACACTCAAACCACCCGGGAACCGTTGATTAGGCTGTGTATCGCAGCATCAGATTTAACATCTCCCTCTCCTGTCCATGGCTATGCAATAATACATTATAAATAGAACCAACTGGTAGAGATAGTCTGAACAGTCCAAGCAAGGAATGTTCGTTAAGGGCTATGCTTACGGAGAATCTAAAATTGCTTGGAAGTTGAAACTGAATCGTTAGATTCTGGAAACCGGACCATATTGATATAAATAGTGATTGTTTAACTAATATAATATAGATAACTTGTTAGCTTAATTAGCTAGGGTTAAAAAGTTATGCCAATAAAAAAATAAAAAAATCATTGTATATAATATCGAAAATGAATATAAAAGAACTCCTTAAATAATCATTTAAAAATCTGGATGCTATAGAAGTAGGGTTAACTGCTTTATTATTCTAAATGAAACAAGTTAACTCTCATGGTAAGTTGGGAAAAGTTAACGAAAAACACTAGAAAAGTTAACGAAAAATGGCCTACACTCACAAGTAAACAAGCATGTTCTTGGTGAATCTCACCAGAGGTTCATGACACCCAAGTGTTATAAACAACAACTGGTAAGCTTTTATCTGGCGATGGCATAGACATGCTATATACAACTCGATAGAATATGTATATTGCATGAAATGGTATTCTTTGTACAAATACGTTTTGACTGTTATTTGGTTAGTTTACACAAAGGTGATTCAAAACAATATACATCGTGGAGTAAGTTGTAATAGAAATCAAGGGTAAGTTGTTGCCGTACATCATGCAACTCATAATCAGATACAATTCCTGCCCGTGTCCTGGTCCTGGCACTGAGATAGCCACAAGTCCATATGCTCAATGATCTTTTGCCTAACTTTGTGAACTGCATCAGGGGATGTGCAGTTCTTGTCGTTACCTAAAATAAAATTTCACAATTAGAATGTTGTTTAATGTAGTTTGATCCCGTATACATGTTACAAGTAACTAACACGGTTGTGTGTAGATATAGCATGAAAACCTATGATGCACGGACACTGACACGGGACACGACACGCCGACATGTTAATTCTAAAAAATGGCATATTTTGACACGTTAATACACGTTTTGATATTAAATAATATTTTTAATATATATAATATAATTTATATTTAGTAGATATAACAGTCCATAATAAGTCATATATTCAATTAAATATTCAAATTTCATAACATAAATATAAACAAAAATAATTTTTCGTACCTTGTTAATTTTTCATGTCAAATTTCATAACAGAAAAAAATTGATTTATAAATGATATTTTTTATTTTTAGTTAATAAAATAAAATTAAGAAAAAAAAAACATGTCCGAACGTTGACCACGTGTCCGAAAAAGTTGACTGCGTGTACGAAAAACGTGTCGGAGAGTTGCCACGTGTCCCAAAATATTGACCGTGTGTCGGAGCGTGTCCGACACGCACAATTCAAAAAAAAAAACGCCAGTCCGTGTTTTAGAGATGACAACTACTAATAAGCATTGGTCATACAATTTTCTTGTTGCTTCGTTCCTTAACGTTTTCATTATTATTATTAAAATATAATTTTCTTCTTTTTGATAAGCATGAGATCTTTTTGTTGATGCGTGGGAGAAGAAATCTTGGTGAATATGCAATTGAAATACGGATAAAAACCATAAGTTAACTCCAATAATTTGCAGGTTCAAGATTGGTGGCCTAAAACATATCAAAATGACAAGAATCATTGGCGTGCAAGAATTATACATACCTTCAATATTAAAGGGAGATTGAGGACATCCTCGCATGTCAGTTCCATGGCCACAATTATAGCATGTCATAGTGTACGAAGGCACTGAAAGTTTAGTAGTGATTAGGCAGCATTCAGCTAATGGTACAAGAGCATAGTAATTGTGCATCACACATAAAAACTCAAAAGGCACAACATTATGTTTTATATAATGTAGCATTGATAGAAATGAGCCGGTCAATTGTCACTAAATAGCAATCAAACAATCTGAATCCATGTTGGATTTGAGAGAAATTCAATTTTGACAGATTGCCACAGTGATGGCGCAAATAAATAATGTTATTGTCCATAATTGATAAAAGTAAATTCCAACTCACTATCAGGGGATGAAATTTGTTTTGATGCATGACGCCAAGGATCCTGTGAGCCATTTGTAAATACTATTTTGGAACCTGTCCATGCACATTACATTAGGATACATGAAATGAAGTCAAATTCAAGAAGATGATTATATAATAGCATATTCAGAATAAAACCATACACGAATGTAAAATATGTAGTGTCCAGCCATAATATGCCATAAAGAACATATATAGTTTGTTTTAAGAACTCACTCATAATTGTAAGCACATAATTCAGATTAAAATATGTAAACATGAAAGAGACATCCCTATTCAAAATTACTTTAAAGTGCAGGATAACAATCATCAAGGCCTGATAAAGATATAACATTTAGTCCAAATAACACGAAAGATAAAATAAACGAGAAATAACTAATGATATACTGTGAATTTGGGGAAAACTAAGAGTCATATAAGAAAATTAATTCTTAATTTTTACATAACAGTTGAGGCAGAGGTAAGATTCTGACCTGCAATTTTTGTGCCTCCATAGTATATGTTAGTTGCATCAACATCAGGAAAGATGCCCTTTCCAAAGACATTTTTGCAAAGGTCCAAATGATATCTGCAATATATGAGAAACCACTCTAAACAAATTTACAAGATTATGATGAAAAAATATGCAAAAACTAGAGTATTAAAACTATAGTTTAACAGTGATATACAAAAGGGAGTAAAGGAATATTGTTAACAGAGTATATGAACAGTGGCGATAAGGAAATTACCTAGTGTCAACTTTTGAGGACCGTATACTATCATTTGATGGAGCCACCTGAAAGTATGCAAATTCAGTGCAAACTTGAAACCACCATAGTCTATCAGAACTGTTTTCACTGACAGCAGTGTTTTTTAAGTACTTCTGGTTATAACTTTGTACATTAACACCAGAGGTTCCAAGGTAATACTCCTTGACAAATTTGGCATAAGCATCCTGCATGGGATATTTGCCATCAGATGGATCAGATAACAGGAGACAGAGCAGTCTTGGAAGGGCACCAGAGACATCTTGACAAAGGAACATAAAATAGAATAAAGACAATCATTGACTAACATAATGCAGTATCTATTATTTTTAGACAAAGACCAAGTGATAAAGGAGAAAAGAATAGTTGAAAAATTAATTCATTGTATAATAGCTACAGAAGCTAAAGCTGATTGGATTGTTGCGACAATCAGAATTCAAGAGTCTCATTATATGATAAAATAGTTTTGAAGATCATGGTTACTACAGTGCAGAAAATACAAGAGCTAGCACAGCGAATTGAAAATAGATGAAAAAAACTGGTTAAGTAGGGATGTTACAAAGATTTAAGCCTCGCGGGATATACATCAACATTAACATTGAACACTTTATGCTCCAATGTTTATAGAATTTGAGGCATAAAACAAATACCGACATAGAGCTGTATGATGAGGTAAAGAATTTTACATGACTATATTGTAATGACAAAGGAAAAAAAAATACTGACATACAAATGGAAGCCAAGATAAAAAAAATAAAATCATAAAAGGTACATTTTAAGTTTTACATCAGAAACTTGTTCATTGAGGATTGAACCGTTTCATAATAATCTGGCAAAAGTAGCTAGACTGAAAGCATACCACCAAATCCTCTCCAGCTTTCTTTGCTTCAACAAGAGGCTTGCATAATATATCTGGATTTCCATATTGAAACTAAAACATTCAAAGAAAACCAGCAAAAGAGGAAACAACATTATAAATTTGAATGCAATAATATATTGCAACAATTTAATAAAGAAACAGCAGGAATCATATCAATTACCGCTGTAACAGCAGCATCAGCCAAAAAATACATGAAGTCACCATCAATTACAAGCTGCAAAACTAGGAAATGGTCAGCATGCAACATGAAAATCATTTTAGAAAATCTAGCAGGGAACGTGGCTCTGTTTGCAGTACACTATAATATGCTTCAGCAAGTGTAAGAAAGGAACATAACATACATCAGCTGCATTAAAAGAAGCCTTCAATGCCTTCCCATCGATTCCCAGTTTTTGTTCAATAAGTTGAGTGGTTTGTTGTAACGCTGTTTTACATTCAACACCTGCTGACTCACCAATCTGCATATTGAAGATAGAAATCTCACCATGACTGACACTAAATAATAGGGAAGGTTTATACGGTATATAGTATCTAGACTACAAAACCAAAAAAATGACCATTAAGGAAAAATCAATATCTTCACCTGCTGATCAAATTCTGTGAAGTTGTAAATAGCAAGAACAACTGCAGAACTTGCAAGACTTCCACATGATAAATGGGGAAACTTAAGACGGAACCATGCACTCAGTGCTCCAGAATATGAGACACCAAAAACAAACCAGGGATTTTCAGATTTTGTTCTATTAAGCTTTGCATTTAAGGAATCCTACAATAAAAATACAATAAGCAATCAAATAAAATGAAAAGCAAATTTAATAAACACAATAGGCTCCTTAAGTCATCATTAAAACCTGAGGGAAAAAAGAAGATAAATTAACACAAAGAAATTTCTTTATTGATTTACCATATATACTTTATGTATAATGAAACATGATTGCTAGAATTGTAGAAATACAAGTGTGCACGTAGGACCATATAAATGCATCAATAAGCACAAGTAGAATCATGACATACTAGAAGCCCAGGTAAAGTACACAAGAAGTAATTCTTGGTAGAGACCCAATCTTCTGTTCTTATGAGTCCATATTGTCAGCGAATATTTAGGATAGTATTGGTATAGGCAATTGATTGCTGATTCAGATGGTTGAGTATTCTTGAATTATACCTCCAGCATTTAGTGCAAATTGAGATGTTGGCTGGAGGCAAATTATTATGCTTCGTCCTGCAGCCTTTTACACACTCTCTCTCTTGTTTCTATCAGCCAAACCCTTGTTTTCTCTTTGTAACTTTTCAACATAAACTATTTTGCATCTTCTTGGATAATAGCTTTTGAAGCTTCAAGAGTGAATTTTGGACCCATCAAGATATTTTCAATTACTACATGCAATATTGCAATCCATGCAACTTGTATTAAATTGACGAAATTTAGATATACTTGAGCAACATAAAACATCTTATGACATCTAAATATAAATCATATAAATCTAATTTGACACGAATTGACATAAAATGGCCTTTTTTCTGGACAGTGCCATTGATAATTAATTACTGACCTAAACAATATCTCAACCTGATTCACATCAATGAAATCCCTATCGTCAAGCATTTACAAACATGTGCATTTTGATTTTTAGCAACTTATACATGAACTAGACCAATACTATGCTACTTCAGTCATATAAAAAAAGAAACAGAAGACTATCTATAACTTTTTCAACTAGTTTCTTAAGATACTACTTTACTGGCTTCATTTCTCCAAAGTTGTCATCAAACAGGAAGGTAAAAAAGTTTAACTTGCCTGGTAATTCTGGCGAAAAATAGCCAAATCAAAGAGTGCCTGCTTGGATGAAAGATATCTCAAATTTTCTGTTGTCAGAGCTTTAAATGGAGAACTCTTTCCATAATAGCGATGCTCAAGAGAAACCACAGCTGCTTGGAACTTCTTTGCCAGAACCTAGAGATGTTACAACGCATGGAGATTTTCTTTAAATTAATATATTTGCCTCTTAAAAGCCATAATATTTTTTAAATAAACAAAGTCAGTCTTGTTGGTGCTATGATACATAGGACTCTAGCCAAGCTACAACTTATGATCTTACTTCCAATCTTTGCTCTTGAATGCAGATATTTAAACCAAGAAAAACCATTAAAGTATAAGAATACAAATTTGGACCAAGAATTGTGACTTACACTAATATAGTCATTTTTTATCCCATTGCATGAACTTTCACCACAGATTACCAAAAAAATTGGTCCATCCGGAGCCCGAAAATAGTCAAGGTACTCATAGTAACGTTGCTGGAAATTGCAATGATCCTGCAGTGCATGCATGAATATAAGCCGAATCAACCATATAAGAATTTGACAAGTAAAGGTGGTGAATAGATTCTAGGACTGGAAATTTTCAACATAAAAAGAAAAAACTTTAATGCAAAATTAAGAAAACTTTCTCTTTTTCTGAAATTAATGCATAATGTGATATTTTTTAAGAGTTTCAATTTCAACAGGGTTTATGCTTCAAAGTATAATAATCTAACTATAGGAATGTGGCAAATTGCTTAACCACTATCATCTACTAAACTAAACCTCTCCAGAATAATTAAATCTACATAAAGATGAGGACCATGAGGTTGAATAGTAGGCTAAAAGCCTTGTTTAGGGGTATTTGGTATGTTAAGTGTTAACACCATTACACCAAGATATCCACATTCATCATCATACCAATTACCAAACAAGGAATTTTGACTTTGATATTTGGGCATCTTGTTAGTTAAAGTGCTGAACTAACAATATAAACCTAGTACTTGTTAGTTAACAAAACAAAAAAAGTGTTCAGTTGCTGGAATTAAATCTCACCTACAATCACCGGTCTTGAACTATAACATGTATGAATAATTAAGGTTTGCTTGAAAGCAAAAAAAAATGTTGGCAAGCAAACGTTGAGAATAATTGTAAGAAAATTGGATGTAATTTTAGAGAAGAGACAAGTACATAGGGAGAGAAGTGGTCGAGTGTCTGAGAGAACCACAGTTCTTCATTCGTCAGATAATTGCCGCTTCCATTCCCAGACAACCGATTTAGCATCGCACGAGGTGCCGCTTTGACCGTCGGGAATAACAGTAACAGAGACACTAACAAACACGACAACATCGTCACTGTCCATCCCTCTCTCATCGTCGTTTCCAACACGATTGTCTCCTTTTCCACCCCCAACCCCGCCTTCAAATGATGCTGTTTCGAATATAAATATCCCTTAATATATGCCATAAAGAAAAACGCAACTTCGATTTATACAGTAAAAGTAAATGCAGCCTAATATCATAGCCAATCTTAACAATATTTGCGTTGACAGAAGTGTATATATAAGATGTCTTAACCAAAAAAATAAAATAAAAATAAATAGCGCTTATTTATTAAAGGATTTCATAAAGGGATAGGTTATTTTACATCATATATGTAAAATTTTACATCATTACGAAATGATTTAATATTTTATTAACATATATAGAAATTAATGTAAAATATGTTTCTAAAATATATGAAACTAAAAATTGGCTTTTTGACCCGTAACCCTTTTTTAATAATTAGTTATCAAATTGACCTTGATTATAATCTATTTCAAAAATTTAATCTCTACAGAAAACATAACATCAATCTACCCATGTTTAACCGTTGACCATCAAATCTATCCGGATATCCCCTCCCTACCCGAATATTTTTTGAAATTTTATCCTACCCAATAAAGAGCGGATACTCGAGTATATTTCATAAATCTGAAAAAATACTTGAATTATTTACTCGGGTAGGGAGGCGGCTACCCGGGTAAATTTCTTAACATAGTCAAGAAGCTAAATCATCAAGCACTTGGGTGCTGCAGATAGAGATAGTGATGGGACCACTGAGACAGAACGAAGCAAGCTTGTGTTTTTCGATAGGAGGAGTGAGTTTGAGCTTGAGGATCTGCTTCGAGCATCGGCAGAGATGCTTGGGAAAGGTAACTTGGGTACGGTTTACAGAGCAGTGCTTGGTGATGGATGCACTGTGGCTGTGAAGAGACTCAAAGACGCAAACCCATGCTAGAGGAACGAGTTTGAACAGTATATGGTGTTGGGCCGTGCACGGGGAGCTCATGGCGGGAAGAGACCGTCAACCATAGTGGAAGAGACCCATGAATCCAATGCCTTAAGATTTTGGGTTGAGATATGGTGTCAGATCCACTTGCTACGGTTGGTGTAGCCTTAGCTCATTGGTGGTGGTCCCCCGCCACGGGCTTCCCCTGGACCCGCCTGACAGTGGTATCAAAGCCGGGTTGAGCTCGAGCTAGCCTGGTGATTGGCTAGGAGGCGGGTCGAGTACTTTGCGCTTGGGGTACTCGGTTGAGGGGGAGCGTACCAATGGTGGGTTTCACACTTGAGGGGGAGATTGTTGAGGAATCCAAGTGTGAGTGATTGAGTGAAAAAGTCCCACATTGGTTAAGAATGGACTAAGTGAGCAGCAACATTAAGTGAGCTCGGAACACCACAATCAAACCCAAAACCTTAAGACATTAGGTGCATGGGTCCTTCCACTTATACGATGCTCACTTAGTCCATTTTTAACCAATGTGGGACTTTTTCACTCAATACTCACACTTGGATTCCTCAACATATGGATGTTGTAGGGAAGCTAAAGCACCAAAACATTGTTAGGTGGTGTTTGGCTGGCCTCTTTACAAAATTTACCTAGGCAAGTGATCATTGGATTCCAGAAAGCCAGTGTTTGGCTGAATAGATTCATACAGAAAGCCACTTTTCCAAAATACATAGCTTTTTCAATTTGTAAGCAAAAAGACAGCTTTCCGCACTGTTACAAAAGCGTTTTGCTATGTGGCTTTTTGTAAAACCATGGGTAAACCACTGTTGACTTCATTTTTTTGTAACCAATATACCCTTTGAAAAGGCAAGACAGATAATACGATGCAAGAGATGATGTGTGTGGTCAGCTTAGGGCGTCAGTAGGTTGTATCTGCTCTACCGTTTTGCAAAGGAGTATCCATGGGAAAATTTGCAGCAGAGATTAGAGATACAACGAGGAATGGCACAAGGGTTTGGCTTGGAACCTTTGATAGTGCAGAGTCTGCTGCTTTAGCTAATGACCAAACTGCATTTTCCATGAAAGGCCATAAAGCTGCACTCAATTTTCCAGTCAAAAGGGTAAAAGAATCTTTGCAAGAAATCAAATATGGTTGCTTGCAAGGTTTTTCACCAGCACTTGCACTCAAGGAGTGGAACTGCATCCAAAGAAATTTGTCAACACAACTGGGGTATACAACATGCCACCTGATCTGGAAGATGTTTAAGCTTGAAAATATCTCTGATTGAGGACAAATGGCATACAGTCCACTTTTTGTTTGTTTAGGATAAGGGTATCGGGGATCAAATTGTAATTTTATAACATTTACCTATTTATATTTTTTCCAAAACCAAACATAGGTTTTCAAAATTTGGATATATTTACTTGGTAAAATTTTATCCAACCAAACAACTTTTTTTTACATTTTCCTATCTATCTCACTTTATCTCACTTTCTTACCATTTCCCTATCAATTCTATTTCCCTAGTTTTGAAAAAATTTCTCCTCAACCAAACACCACCTTAGACTCAAAGCTCATTATTATGCTAAGGAAGAAAAGTTTCTTGTCTATGATTATCTCCCCAACGTCTATCTAGGTTAAGAAATTTACCTACCCAGGTAAATAATTCAAATATTCTTCCAAATTTATGAAATATACCCGAGTATCACCTTCCCTACTCGGGTAGGATAAAATTTTCAAAAAATACCCGGGTAAGAAGGGGGATATCCGGGTAGACTTGATGGTCAACGGTCAAACATGGGCAGATTGATGTTATGTTTTTTGAAGAGGTTAAATTTTTGAAATAGTTTATAATCAAGGTCAATTTGGTAATTAATTATTAAAAAAGGGCTACAGTGGTCAAAAAGCCCTAAAAACCACTTGATTATATTTTCATTATTATTAAACTTTTAAAAATATAACAGAGATAATTAAAACAATAGTAAAGTTCAAACACCTCGATAAAAAAAAAGGAAAAATGTTTATCCTTTTAAATAACGGGTAAAAGATTTCTCCAGTCACCGGAGATAAAGTTATCTCTAGTGAGCTCAAAACGACGTCATTTTGGGGCGAAAATCAAAGTGTTTTTGTAATTATAATATATTGCAGAGTTATATTAGTCTTTATCACTATAATTTTTTAATCTTATAACTCCAAAATGACATCGTTTTGAGCTCACTGAGATAACTTTATATCCGGTGACTGAAGAAATACTTTTCCCTTAAATAACATAACTTGTGTCATTTCACTCTTATAAAGAGGTGAGACTCACTCTTTTAATTTTTTGTCAACTTTCTCTCCTCCTTTATCTATCTCTTTCTCTTTCTTAAAATGACACAATTTTACATCCTTTAAAATGACACACATTTTTCCGTAAAAAGAATGGCATTATGGCAATGTAGTAGTTGGATTTGTTTTTTCGAAAATAATTTCCACTCTTACGTTTTTGGGAAGCAATTTTATCTCTTAAAACATTCAATAAATACTCCCAAATCTCGAGTTAACATAAAAAGAAGAGTGTGTGTCATTTTAAAGGATATAAAATTGTATCATTTTAAGTGAGAAAAAGAGATAAACTATGAAAGAGAGAGAGAGTGGACAAAAATAATAATAAAGGTGTAAGTCCCACTTCTTTATTAGAGTAAAATGACACAAATTGTGTCACACTTTTCCCTAACATAAAACGTAAAAGAATTAATCATGAAAGAAATGACAAATGGTCAATGAATGATTTGGTTCCCCATGTGGTGAGAAAGTATTCGTAACCGTGAAGGTCTTTATCATTATAGTAAATCATGCATAGTGTCTTCTAGGTATAGACAGTGCTCAATAATTCACGAAATTGGAAGCAAGGCTACTTCCTATGATCTATATATCAATCATTATGAATTCCTTCATGTCACAAAATTGGAAACATGAACTCATGAAATGATACTAGACAAATTAGGTGATGAGAGGGGGGAAAAAAATTAAGATAAAAAAAAAACTATTGATTTGTCTATACACGACTCAAATTAGACTAAAATCATAATCACAAACAAAACATGAGGGGTGCCAATCCCCATCTCAAACAAAGAAACAAAAAGGAAAAATTATGAATCAGAAAATTTAGAAGCTACAATTTCTACCACCGTATGTTGGTTTGGCAAGGGGGGAGCGTTATGGCATACAGAACTGAAACCAGAAACAAAAGTCTAACACACAATTCATTGAAAGAGATCACAGGTATACAGTTAACAGTGCTTTTGCAGTATAGACATGTTGTGTTGAACTACCAAATTAAATTCCTACATAAGCGAACAAACTCCTCAAAAGACTTCGGTGCCTCATTTGCCAGAACTGGATGTTAACAGAGTATGCCATCCTTGTGACTAGCATGCATGAGAACAATACGAAGCTTTTTCCATTGGTATATTTCTGGTGTGAGCTCCTGTCAGAACTGCATTGCCTAGTTGCATGATTTATGGCTGCCAAGAAAAGAAAAGCATTCCTGAGAAATATATTTGTAAGCGCACGTCATGCATACTGTAACAAGGACTGTTTAGTACAAATGTTACAACTTACAAGGTTCTACTTTCATCCAGCCATTAGATGAATGCATTGAGGACGGAAAGATGAATGAAGTGGTATTGAAGTTGAGTAAAAAAATGGGGGGTGTTCAATTATGCTCAATATCATTGTTCAGGTGAACTTTCTAACCAAATAAAATTTTGGGAGTTTTATGAGAATATATGAATCCCTGCTTCAGAAGGAAGCAATCTGTAAAAGTTCCGAGCACATTTCAATATGATTTTTTATTTTTATTTTAATCTTAAGAATTTTCAAGCCCACAATTATAAATACATATCAATATTGACCTTGACAATGTTAATTTCTGTAGGTTGCAGTAGTAAAGGGGAATTATATCTATGCTTCTTGGTGAGTCCTGACATGCAAGGGACCACAACATGTCCCTTCAAGTAAAGCTGCACATTTGATCCCACAAGACATGACTCAGTGCAATAGTGGAACTGGAACCAAGTATCAAGCAATTTGTAGGACTGAATGACTACTTGCTACAAATTCCATTTATAGATAACCATAACATAAAGTAATTCAACAATCACATGGCCTTTAAATATAGTCCCATATCCCAATCATAACTGTCTTACCTACTTGAACAAGTTTACTACATTCAATGCATTATTTGCAATACCCCATATTCTAGTGATATCAATTTGCACCAACAACAGGCTCAATAATTTCAGTTTGCAAGTATTTGCAGTATCCCATTTATGTGAAACACACCTCTACCAGAAAAGAAATTTCTAACTAGCCAGACAAAATTTACTTCCCATGCACTCTAACCTGATTATTTGATGCTTGTTCATGTATTCTGTTAGGCTGCATGTTCAAATCAATCATTTTCGTTTCCATCTTGGCATGCCCATCAGCATCAGATTCTGGCGATAGAACCATCGGCATCCTGTGATTTTGTTGCTTCTCTCCCATTTTTAGTCTGGGAAATGGATGTTGTCCTCTTTTAATCTCACCTGGTTCCAGAGGTTGCAAAGCTGGGTTTTCTGCATGACTAGATTTATCTCCTGGAAACTATGGAACAAGGAGATATTATACATTTTATGGGTCCCGAAACGGTATCAAGATAACAAATTAAGACCAATTCATGTTTGAAAGGAGAGGCACACCTCAACTCTTTGCCTAAACCGAAGATATCTTCCATGAGTTCTTTTACCTCCAACATGAACTATCATATCACACTGCAAACAAAGGGAACTTCCATCTGTCTCGCAATAGAAGAAAGCTACATCCAGATTGAAAGGGCAAAGACATAAGCAATAGGCATCAGAGGAACAACACTACAAGAACAGAAAGAGGAAACTCCCTACCTGGTGCATTCTCACATATGTCACAGCTTGGCACATCACTTGGACTTGCAAGACCAACCCTTACATGCCGACTAGCTAGCTTATTGCACATGTGAACCTGTCAGCTCCAAAATTAAACCTTTGAGCCATTGGTTGAAATATGTAAAAAACCAGATTAAAGTAAAAAAAGTAAAAACAATCTTTGGTTTTAAATTTACAAAAAATCCACAAAAAAGAATAAAATTGGATCAAAGTCTATTTATGAAGCTACAATAAAGCTGGAGAGTCAAATTGCAAGTCCTTCAATTTGTTACCCCCATAGGTACTTCTACTCATTTCCTCCATCAATGAACTTCTCCAAGTTTAGCACCACGATTTCAATATTGCTACATTACCGAGGAAACATCAAACTAAAGCATTCACAGCCAGTGATCTAAGAGAAACACCGACACATCATTGTGAACACGAATCAACACCGAAGCGGCAACGAAGATCAGAAAATATAAAAGATACTATTACAGATAGAAAAAATACCTTCTCATCACAGGCACGACAGAGTGCGGCCTCATCGGCGGCGCAGAAAACGATAGCCGCCGCGCTCTCACAAGCGTCACAAAGCGTTCGCATAATTGAACTCTCTAACTTTCATTGCATCAGCTAACAAATGAAGAGAAAGTTGATGTCAGATTCAGAAGAAACACCTGAATTTCCTCCTCGGGAAACAAAAAAGAATATGAATATATAAAAAGACACAGAACAAGACAGATTTTCACCAAATCCATGTGGGTATGACAGTTTTTTGTTTTTGTTGTTGTTTTTCTCTATGTTGGTATGTTGCCTGGTGTTACTGGAGGAGGTGGAGGTGCTACTTGATGACGATGATGGGGAAGAACTATGATTAGAGTGTAGGATAAAAAAGAGAGGATTTTGAAGAAGTGGGGGACCTTGGGGTTGATTCCAGAACTATGCAAAGACCCAATAAATGAGTGTTTGTCAACCATGTTGGGCTCAAAAGGTTACTTCATAGCCACAAATTTAAAGCCAATGTGGGGTTGACAGCAACTCAAGGTTCCCTCTCACCCACCAATTATGTTGTCTCACATGGGACCCATCTCCTTGTAGTGTTTATTGTTGCCAAGCCTAATTAACATTGCCTTTCGTGCATGCCCTTCCATTTCAACCACAAACAAGCAAAGAAACGAATCTCGCTCTCCTTCACCTAATTCCATTTATGTCTTCTCTGCATTATAGTTCCGTTCAATTCTTTTGCTGTGGGGACTTGGAGGGCAAATTTCAAACTCTTTAACTTGTTTATGCAGTCTACTGAAAATCCAATGTGCAACAAATGGGGGTAAGGGAGCTGACTATGGGAAATGGAGAGGGTCAACATGTGCCATATTCACCAGGAATTTAAATATTTTCATCCTTTATTATCCCCACTTCAATAATATCAAAGAGTCAAAATTTGTGTGAATAACAGAGTAGTCAATTCGCCTTAAAAAGTAATTAGAGTTGAATTAACTAAAAAAATATATCCAATGGGCATGGAAAATACAAGAGACACTGACGCGTGTCTTTTTAGAGTTTAGATTTGGAAAAAGAAGATTTTTTTATTCACGTTGCGTATCTCCCAACTTTCCCTTTTAAGAGACACAAAATAATGCAAAGATTTCTACTGTTTTTTGCATTTTAGGGGGCTGGTGGATTTGGTTTGATCCTTTGATATCTATGTTAGTGAATAATGATAAGGAAAACACTACAGTTTTTAAACACCTTTCTATAGTTGAGGCAAAAAAAAAAAAAACTCTAGACTGCTGGCTGCTGTTTCAAATCTATAATTAGAAGGATATTCACAAAATTATAATTTTTGTTGATTCTAGAAGAACTTTCCCAAATTGTACTAGAAGTGAACTAGTAAGACTTATGTTGAGCTTGACTTTAACACCTCATTGTTCCACAGCATCAAATTGTTTCAGAAGTTCAGTTAAACTAGACTCCTACATTTCGGAAGCTACCATTTTAGTTAATACTCTTTTAAAGTTGAGAATTCACCGCTAGGGGTGTGATAAATGAGCGATGACCTTTCAGGGGTCTTTGGCTCGGCGGCTCGTGAAGGCATGAAGAATCTTTTCCATTCTTCGGTTATGTATGGAAAGATAGAAATAAAATGACTACCATTTTGGGTATTCACTTAATCTTATTAGGTATAGGTGCTTTTCTTCTAGTATTCAAGGCTCTGTATTTTGGGGGTATATATGATACCTGGGCTCCAGGGGGGAGATGTAAGAAAAATTACCAATTTAACCCTTACTCCAAGTATTATATTTGGTTATTTATTAAAATCACCTTTTGGAGGAGAGAGTTGGATTGTTAGTGTGGACGATTTGGAAGATATAATTGGAGGGCATGTATGGTTGGGTTCCATTTGTATACTTGGTGGAATCTGGCATATCTTAACCAAACCCTTTGCATGGGCTTGGCGTGCACTTGTATGGTCTGGAGAAGCTTACTTGTCTTATAGTTTAGGTGCTTTATCTGTTTTTGGTTTTATTGCTTGTTGCTTTGTCTGGTTTAGGGTTGTTAGAACCAAGTTTGGACTTGTATAAAAGCTCGTTTAGTAAAAAGGCCTCAGGTTCCAATTCAAAAGCTCGGCCTTGGAGTCTCTCAGGCTGGCCTAGTATATTAATTTTTATTTATATTTTTTATACTATTTGTAATAGCTCTTTCTCTCTCTCCTCTCAATCCAATATTTCACTCCTATTTTATTAGTTAAACAAATTTTTTGAATGATTTTGTTCTATATTATGTTGTTTGGATATATATTGAATTTATGAATATTTATGGAATTATTAATGTTGTTGATTGTATATTCTGTTTGGATAAATTTTGGTTGTCTTATTTTTTTTCTAACAGGCTAAATCTAGCTTTTATTTTTTGTAAATAAGGCAGGCCACGAACCGATAATTATATTCGTAACAGGTAACGAGCTTGGTAAGACCGACACATTTAAGACCAAAGCTCGGCTCGGCCCGGTCCGTTAACACCCGTATTCACCACCAACAACCTTTAGATGTCTTGCCCTTTTTCTTTTTTTTTTCTCAGCTGATGCTACGAGTATAGCTCATAGTCGAAAAACTTCAATTTTGTTCCTGTTAGAATATGACTTGGCCTCGTACTTTAACCTTATTCTAGCTTAATATATTACCGCTAGTCTTACTACTTTGTTGCATTGAATTTGAACCATGAATTTGGTAACCTTGTGCCTTCGCCAGCTCTACTCTGTGCTTTGTGGAAGCAACACAGTGCTGCAAACTCATTGCCTCATGCGGAAAAGAATCAAAAGATACAGACATAACCGCTGGAGAACATAAGACACAACTGAGCAATCTCACAATTTCTTATTATTTCAAACACCACATTATACAATAGTGTTTTTCTTTGGCCCAACCTTCACAAACCAAGACTTCAAGACCACAAACAGGATTTTGGATAGATTTTAACATAAATCAATATCAGTCTTCTCTTCATATCCCCCAACCTATCATTTTTTTCTCTGTTTTGATCAACAAACTCTTTACTTATCTTACAAACAAAAAATAAAAGGAAGTGAAGTTAATGTCCTTCACTTTGTTGTTTTAAAACTATAGACAAATTAAAACGAGAAGTTCATCATGTCCATGCTCAAGCTTTCCATCATCACACTCTCCATGAGTCCACACTTGGTAGGAGACTTCTTAAAGCTCTGGCCTCGAGGCTTGAAAGAGCATGAAGAAACAGGAATGATTGGGATATTCTCACAGTTACAAAGCTCAATCATGTACCCGTCAGGGTCATGGAAGAACACCTGTTCCACCTTGATTCCACCATCCTCTACCACAGCTGTTACATACCTCATCCCCATATCTTCTAACCTACTCTTAACAAGTCCAACATCCGTACACTGCCCAAAACCAAATTGCAAAAATTTCTTTTAAACATAGCTATCGTGATCCATGTGAACATTTAATTAATGATACTATAATTGAAAGCCTAATTACCTGGAATGATATATGATTGTCCTTGGGATTAATAGGCCGTAATTCATTCACGCAGGTATCAAATTGGTCTATGTCTGGATTCTCAATCAAGTGTATTCCAATACCATAATTGTAAAACCTACAAAAATAAAATAAAAGTAACCACATTAATATTCTTTGTAACAAGATAATTAATATAGAAAAGGGCAATGAAGAGAAAGTGATAAGCTAACCAGGCTCCATTGAAATTGAAAGAAGATGGGCGTTTGATGAGAACAAAGCCCAAGACTTGCTCATAAAACCTCATAGACTCCCACACTGATCTACACAAGAGAGACACATGGTTCAATGAGAGCAAGGGAAGTGCTTGTGCTTCAAAGTTGCCAACTTCCTCAATCTCCATGTTCCACTCTTGTTCTCTTAATGAAGCACCTGCACTAAGCTCAGCTTAGCTTTCTCTTGTGTGTTGAAGTTTGAACTTTGCAGTGAATCCAATTGGCTAAGTTGGTTCTTATATATAGCAGGAATTTAGTAATATCTCAGAACTTTATCCAAACCAATGCACCATTTTTTTTTTTGTCGATGTAAGTAGGAACTTTCGTGGAGGATTCTTTAATGCTGCACTGCCCTCATTAACATACTAGATTTAAGCCTATTTTTTTCATTCTGTGCATGTTTGTTTGCTCTTGAAGCTTACAAATTGGCACAATTGTGGTCGTATCGTATAACTTCAGCCACTGACCAGTGTAGAGGTTAGTACCCTACAGAAAGTACAAGGTTCAAAACATTTGAGAAATTTCGAAGATGCTTCCCAGCACAAACTTCACGTTGTTACGTTTTTTTTTCCTTTGTGTATTACTCAAAGACCACTACTCACTACTCACTCTGTCTACGTAGTAACGTAGTTTGCTCTGTGATGTACGGACCCACTCTTTCTTCTACGTATTATTTACACGTAGTATGGGGACATCTGGAAGAGCAAGTTGGCAAATCTTCCCCATATGGGCTCAATGGGCTTTATGCAAACTCGGACTTCAAATCTTGGACTCTTTGTGAGCCCAAAATACAATAATGACATGTACAAACACTGTTAGGAGCACCTACTCCTCTTTCCTCGTTATTAGCTATCCATTTGAAAGAACAGTCATTTTATCTTAAGAATAGGATTTTCTTTTTTGGATTGATTAAAAATTTAAATTTTATTAAAATAATACAGTGGAATTAGTGGCGGACCCAGAATTTTTTTTTTATGTCTGCATACTCAAGCCGGAGGTTTGGGGGTGCCTCCCCCGGTTTTTTTTTTAAAGATCATAATCATGATTCAATTTTTGCTTCCACTTCAAAAGTAAAGTTTTGGTGAATCAACCAAAGTTTTAAAGAAATAATCGATAATAATAATTAAAAAATAAATAAACACTACAGAAAGACATTTGTAAAATATAATATGATTGTAGGGGTTAATCGATCAAAAACTTACCTTTGTCGATGTCTATTTGATCCAAAGTTGACCAGTTTTGTTTCATAAAAAAACATGAAAAATTCCGTTTGATTCTCCTCCACTCTTTATCTTTTTCCTTTTAATCTTTCTATCTTTTTATTTTTTTTACTTGATTTGAATCACACATCCTATGAAAAAAAATTTCTCCTCAACTCTATGCCTGCAAATGCGGACAATGGAACCAACCTACGTCCGCGATTGAGTGAAATACATATGCAAATGTGCGACTATCAAGCGGTGCGTAGTGCAAATTGTGCTTGAATGCGCACACCTCCATCACAACTTGTAACTCTCGTCAAATGATAGGTGCGTCTTCACTGTGTGTGAGTTGTACTCTCCCTTTATGTGTAACTTAAACATACACAACCTTTTACATGTTTCATTATATTATTTTAATCAATAAAATATTTAGATTTTGAATCAATAAGATAATTTTTTTATCATTTTATAGGATTAAAACTAAAAAAGCGAAAGAGCAGGAAATTTGTGTATTTAAATTAATATAATTTATATTTTTAAAAAATTAAACAAAAGCTTTTAATTTTTTAATTATTATTTTCCTAAAAAAACGATCTAGCCAATATATTCGGCCAAGTCAGGAGGGCCCACTTAATTGATGGGATGATATTTTGTCAACCCAACCTCTGGCAATTGGCAAACCATATGCTGTAAGTCGTAGGTAGACAACTTTATTTCTTAATTAAGTGGGCTCCTTCCCATCATAGCTAATTACCTATACTCAATCAATGTTATCAAATTTACGAACCGATAATTAATTCGGTCTGGATATTAAGCTACCGGTTTAATTAATGAGTTGTTGATTCAATTGTATAAATTAAATATGGATTTAAATTTTTTAAAGTTATTTTAAACAATTTTATCTAATTTCATCAAAATACACATAAAAATTCATGTGAAATCCATGTGAAGAGAAAAGAGAAAGAAAAAAATATGGGCAAAGAAAAAAGAGAATATGGGTACTAAACACTTTTCTGTGTGTATTTTGATAAATATTAGATAAAATTATCTAAAATAATTTTAAAAATTTTAAATTCGTTAAATATATATAATAAAATATAATAAATATAAAATTAGAAGTATATTAACTAACTAGGGGAAGGATATACTTACCACCAAAAAAGTTTACCACATTTACAACCAGCTTAATCACCGTTGATTTCTGTTTTCCGTCAATCTAACGATTATAATTTATTGGATTTTAATGAGAATTAATAATTAATTAATAAATGTGATACAGTAATTTCTAATAAATTATAACTGTTAGATTGACGGAAATCAACGGTGATTAGGTTGGTTGTAAAAGTGGTAAACTTTTTTGGTGGTAAGTATATCTAGAGCTGTCAAAATGGGCCAGTCCGGTCCATTTAGCCCTAGCCCAAGTGGGTTAGGGCCAAAAAACCCGCAGGGTCAAAAAGCCCACAATGATATAGATCCACACGGGCCAAAGCCCTATGGGTTAGGGCTAGCCCGCGGGACTTCTAAAAAAATAATATGAATTTTTTTTTAAAAATATTTATAATAAAATGGTGCATAGAAATTATTAGAAAAAATAAAAATAAATAGTTTTTAGAAAATTGTCACTTTTTAAAAAAATTAGTGCATAGAAATTTTTTCGTAAAAAGTTTTGACAGAAAATGTTTCTGTTAAAAAATAGACGAAAAAAAAAAATCGTCAAAATTCTTTACAGAATCTAAAATCCGTAAAAGTTTTTGACGAAAAAATTTCCGTCGAAATTCTTGACGAAAAAATTTCCGTCGAAATTTTTGACGAAAAAAATTTCCGTCGAAATTTTTGACGAAAAAAATTTTCGTCAAAATTTTTGACACAACAATTTACGTCAAAATTTTTGATGAAAAAAGATTTTGTCGAAATTTTTGACGAAAAATATTTTTGACAAATTTTTCGATAAAAAATATTTCTATCAAAATTTTAAACGGAACACATTTTTGTTAAAAATTTTCCACGAAAATTATTTCTGTAAAAAACTTTGACGAAAATATTTCTGTAAAAAATTTCAACGAAAAAAATATTTTGTCGAAAATCTTTACGAAATCTAAATTCCGTCGAAAGTTTCACAGATACATTTCCCTCAAAAATTTTGAAAAAAAATATTTCCGTTGTAATTTTCATTGGGTCACATTTTCATCGAAGATTTTGGACGGAAAATATTCTGTCAAAATTTTTGAAGGAATTCTTTTTTCCGTCAAAACTTTTGATGAAATTTTTCTTTGTAAATTGGGTTGAATATTGTAGCCCGCGGGCCAGCCCCAACCTAATCCTATAATGAGAGGGCTTTAAAAGGATGGGCTTAAAATGGCCCCATTACATAGAGGGCTAAAATTTTATAGGGCTGGCCCTAGGGCTTGATGGGTTGGCCCTAAGACTTGAGCCCTTTTTGACAGCTCATGCCTCAACTAAACTAATAATTAGAGTTTGTTTAGTAATAAGAGCTACGAGTTATAATTAATATGATCTAAGTTCAAATTTTATTAGTGATATTTTTCAAGTATTTTATTCAAAATTTCACAAAATCAAAGTTTTGAAAAAAAAAAATTGATGCATATTTAATATTGATTGAACCCGATTGAAAATCGGTTTACCGGATTAGTTGGGGATTTGGTTTATGATTCAACCGACCGAATCGGCCGGTGAGATCGGTTGTTATATCACTGTTAACTCAAACTCAACTCACCTTATTAGTTGTTGGGAAAACTCGGTTCCCTCAAGCTCGGCTCAGGGGCCTTTGTGCGGAAGTCAATCAACAAGATCCTGATCTCGGATCTCGACAATACCTCGACCTGAACTTCACCAGGTCAGGCAGCGCAGCGGAACAATCAAAAACGAAAAAATCAAAATAGGAGAGAGAGAAGAAGAACACAACCAGTTTTTAACGTGGGAAAACCTTCTCCTATGAAGAAGTAAAAAATCCACGGGACCTAGTCCAGATCAGAAATCCACTATGAAAATAATGGTTACAACGAATCAAATACATCAATGTGGTGGTTAACTCAACCTCTCCAACAATGGTGATAATCAAACTACCCTAGAGATGTTTCATTCAAACTCTCTCTCTAGAGATCTTTTAAATGCAAAGCATAAAGCCTTGCTCAAACAATCAAATAATTCTCTCAAATTTGTTCTCTCAAATCTGACATAGCCTCCACCCACAACTAATGAGTATATATAGAGGAGGTGGAAATTAGGGTTAGGGTTTTTAGGAAACCCCTCAAATGGGCTTGGGCTTAGCATTGAAGGAGGAAGCCCAACAAATCTCCCCCTCCGACTTCAATGTGTCGGCTTCAACATCAACCCGGCTCCTTCACAGCAGTCTTCAAATTTTCTTGCTGGAACCGGCTTTGTCATCATGTCGGACCAATTTTGGTCAGTGTGCACCTTGACGAGTTCGAGCTCTCCACCTTCCACCACATACCGGATCCAGTGATACCTCACATCAATATGCTTAGTGCGAGAGTGATAGGTTGAATTCTTCGCAAGATGGATTGCGCTTTGATTGTCACAACCCAGCTCGTACTTGTCTTGATCATGGCCGAGTTCCATGAGGAACTTCTTCATCCACAACATTTCTTTGCTTGCCTCAGTAGCGGCAATGTACTCAGCCTCAGTTGTCGATAGTGCAACACATTTCTGAAGTCTTGATTGCCAAGAGACAGCTCCTCCGGCAAATCTCATCAAATATCCTGTAGTCGACTTCCTCGAGTCGGCGTCTCCCCCTAAATCAGAATCCGAGTAGCCTTGCAACTCGGCTTTGCCTTCTCCAAAACGGAGACATAAGTTGGTCGTACCTCGGAGGTACTTGAAGATCCACTTCACTGCTTCCCAGTGCTCTTTGCCGGGGTTTGACAAATACCGGCTTACCATTCCTACAGCATACGCCAAGTCGGGTCTAGTGCAAACCATTGCATACATCAAGCATCCGACGGCGGATTGGTAAG